TACAAGATGCAGTGTTTCTTCAGCAGAAATGAAAAATCTGAACATTTACTCAAACAAATGCCACATTTTCAGGGGAGACAGAAGCTCAGCACATTTCGGTTCAAAAAAAGAAAATCCATGTAACTGTAGGAGACAGAACTTAGAGATCCACCCTAGATCTTCAACTAAACTGAGCCTCATTTTTTCATTCTAAACACACAGAGGACCACGAGGCTCAGCAGCAGCCTGCAGATGCACAAGGCCTGGAACTATCGAAGTTCTTCAAAGGTGCCAAACACGGATAGGATGCAGCCATATGCTTCAACCTACATGGATTTCCAAAAGGACTTCAAATTCCCCTCCCCAAAAGGTGAGGGGTTTCTTAAGGGAACTCAGGTGAGAGAGATAAGAGGAAAGGTCCTGTGTGGACAGATAAGAGGGCTGAAAAATGGAAACGGTAAGAATAAGGGTACCCAGTCCCTTCCTGCAGTGAGCAGGAGTCACCATGAAGTTCTGCAGCCATCTGTGCTCAGACCTGAGCTCTGTGACACTCACCTGAGATCAGGAAGGAGTCTGAGCAGTGGGCTGAGGATGCTGCTGATGGAACAGCTATCTGGGTAACAAGGAGGGGATGCGAGGAATTCCAGATAATCCTGTGAGACTGAGCTGTGAACTAGCAAATAAACATAAGTGGCAAAAGATGTACAAGAGAAAGGTACAACCATGATTTCGCACAACTAATGGACTCCAAAATGATCACACACCAGCACATCTTAGTGTTACAAATTGACATATCCAGGAAACTACCTTGGTAGCAATCCAGAAAGCTAATAAAATGTTACAAATCATTAAGAAAACAAAGCAACTACATAACACCAAAGCTCACCTACTGTTGAAAACTAAGTCTCCAAACAAAGGAGCCCAGACAAGAGCAAAGAGAATGAGGGAAATCTCAAACAACCCAAAGAAGGCCTACAGACATGCAGCACACCTGACCAAAGGTCACGGTGCCTGCAATAAGGTCCCAGGGGGGCTGCAGACAGATCAGATTAGTATTTGGGATAGAAAGCCACCAGACGTTCTGAGAACAGCAGAGGGTGTACCCAGCTCCAGCAATCCCCAGCTGAGAACAACCAGAGCCTCTGAGAGCACATATAGAGGAGGTTCTGCATAAGGTCATCCTGTTCCTATTTTTCCCCTGCAGAACATATATTTTTTAAAAAGGGCGACTCAAGCAGGACACCACACAAAGCATTCTCAATGGTAACCCCTGCTTCTTAAAGCTCTGAGGATAGCAATGTTCTGTTCAGATCCATACCAAGACAAGGACAGGATAACAGGCCCAGTAGTGCTGGGGTGGCTGCCCATGAGGTATGGAGCCCATCAGCCCACAGAGCAGCTCAGAGGGGCAGCAGGAGGTCAGTGAGAAGATCTCTGCTTTTGGTGGGGTGGTAGACTGGAATGTTATACAGCAAAAAGCACCCTTATGCTTGGGAAGAGGGTTTGGAGGAGCCAGGAGAAGAACTGATATAGATATACGTGTTCCAGGGTCTTCTGCAAGGGATGTAAGTCAGAAAAGCATAAATGCACCCATCTTCACTCTTCCTCAGTGAATTTTCATGTTTGATTTCAGTGGGCCACAAATAAGCCTAAAGTATAAGTCAACCTGCAAGAGGCCTTCTCTGCAATGGCACAAGGCTGCTTTCTGTCAGAGCACACAGGAAGGGAAGGGGAGCATGCAGAAGTACTCAGAGGCATCTCAGAGGTGTTGCTCAGAGGTGCAACCAGCTGAGCGCCCTGTGGCAGCATCGCATCCTGCATGGCCATTGCACTGGACTAATCCTTGGTACGTTCATTGCAGCTGCTCTTCCATTTTTATATTTGTTACATCTTCTAGAAGCTGTCATGTACTTATGAGAGTCATAGGACCTAGTGCATAGCATCTGCAGCTGGTTGTACTTAGTATTGCACACACAATATTTTTAGAATGGTCTACAGGCTTCTGAACAAGTGGAACTGTTGCAACCACTACTCAAGATAACTCTCAGCTGTTCTGCAAAACAGTAAGTGAAACAAATCCCATGCACAATGACATACACTAGACCTATCTTCAAAGTTACTTCACATTTCATTCATCTCAGTCCTCTAACCACAGCATAGTTTAGAGCACTGCTCTCAGTTCACACCATCTGGATCTGCCACCCCTTTCAATTTCTGTTTTTGAGAATCTGTGAATTACTTCAGCTAATATAAATGTTTTCTGAAGTTTATTTTTTAACCTGAAGGATAAGCTCAAACAGGTCACACATAGATTAAAAAATTGTCTCTTTTTGCACAGTTTTGATGTAAAAATCTTTTGACTTGATCAGATACTACTCTAAGTCAACACATAGCATTTTGGAGGAAAAAAGCCTAAACTTGCAAAAATATTTCAGAAAGCATCCACTAAGCATACTGCAATGCTTTCTAAGCAGTGATACAATCCGTAAAGCAAGCATTTTATTTTAATGTCATTTGTGAATGTCAGATTTTTAAAATAAGAAACACTGGCACAGAAAATGTATATCCAGTTAGCACAGGCGTACAGAAAAGGTTTCCTGAGTCACCAAGTCTCTCTTTTAATACCACAGCCAAGCACATGACAAACTTCCTCGATATATCTTTAAGAGGCAGTCAGGGGTCCTGCTTCCATTCCTCCCATTTGAAGGTCATTCCAGAACCTCACTCCATTTAGGGAAGTAACCGTCTCAATTCCTGCTTAAGTTTATTCATGCCAGTTTACATCCATTTGTTCCCATGCCAACATTGTTCTTTAGTTTAAATAGCTCCTCTCCTCTTCTAATGTTTATATCCCTGCTGTATTTGCAGATTGGAATCATATCCCCTCTCTTAGGCCTCATTTGCTTGGCTAAAAGGCCTGGCTTTTCTCACCTCCTCTGGTAACACTGCTGCTTCTCCTCCCCAGTCACCCTCTGCACCTGTCCCACCTGAAGCACCCAGCGCTCCCTAAGAGCTCTCACCTATCCCACCAGTCCTTCACCACCACATTCACCTGCCCACAGCAGTAGGATGGCAGCAGTGTGGCCTTAGAGGAGCTAACACACCCAGCAAGTCTCCTCCTGCTATGCTGTTCCCAGCTGCAAAGTTCCACTCACAGTAGAGCAGACAAAGGCAAAATCTCATCTTTGCCCACAGGAGATCTATATACAATGCAGTACAAATACAATACAGCATTGTGTGTTTTCAGCATGGATTCCAAGTGTAATTGCACATCCTAATATAGAGCTTCTGAACAGTATGGATTTTTTTATCTGGCTGAGATGTCATCCACTGATTACTCACCATCACCTACCAGCTACTAGGATTTGTTTCAGTCATTGCCCAGCCTCTAGTAAGAAATCCCTACAGCAGGCATTCTCTAGTACTCAAATCTCTCCTAACCAGCCCCCGAAATCACAGCTCCCTGCAGCTGCAATGCTCAGCAGTACTGCTTAAGTATTTCCTAAGGAAAGTACTGCCCTCCTGATAAGAAAGGACAGCAGAATCCACCCAGGAGCCAATAAAAATGAACATTTTGGGTCACTGATCCCTGGCATATTTGCAAAAATGGAAAAACAGGAAAAAGAAGTAATCCAAGTTTCCACAGTACGCATCCCTGCATTCCCCCTGAAGAGTCCTCTCCGAACCTTCATTTCTCTAAAACAGCAGAAAAACAAGAAGAGAACCCAGAAATACTCCATCAAATACCCATCGCTGCAAAGGAAAAAACAAAATACCCACACACTTAATGTGGCTGCTCTACACAAGGAAGTTACTCAGCCAAGATTTCGTCACAAGGTCATCATCACAGGAGGATGTCTCTCCTTTTAAGTGCCAAAACATCTGCACACATTTCAACTAAACTTACTTAAGGCTGGCAGAAAATAGTCTGAGATACAAGACAGTCAACTCATTCAGGCTTTTCAAAAGTGCTACAGCATGAGATGGCAGAATGGTGCCATATATCAGATCTAGAATGAACTGGAGACACACATCAGCAAGCCAGAGGACACAGCAAGCCTGCAGTCAGCAGCCTGTATCTCTGCTCTGGGATAACTCAGAGGGTCTCACACAAAGCCCTGTAACTTGCTGCAGATACTGGCATCCCACACAACTTGCTGCAGACATCATCACCCCACAAAACTACTAGCAGCTTGCACAATGCTTACTAGCAAACCTACACTATGAATGCAGCCTGGTTTTCATTTAAAGCACAGAATTGCAGCCATTCTCCCTAACAAGCAGGAGCCCAGCCAAGAACCTAAAGCACAGTGATCAAGCAGGCAAAGCAAGCAAGTACAAATACAAACCACAACACTTCTCGTTTTATTTCATCTGCCCAAATTCTCTCTCGGGCCGCAATGGAAGCAGCTTCACTATTGTCATGAGACCTAAGCTAAGAAGTTCAGAGGAATTACACCAGGTCCACATTTTGTTCTGAGGACTGTTTCTTTACATACTCCCATTCACAATCCTGCATACAAACCTCAAGTATCATTTAACCGGAGCCGAACTTGCAAAAAGCGCAGTCTAACATTCTATAACTTATAATAACAACTACACTAGCTACTTCTACAGACACTTTACCCACTTCCCATGTCGTTTTACCTCCCCACATCCAACAAAGCGAGATCCACCGCAGCTCCCTATCTATGCAGGAGGGAACGCCGGCACCGCGCTGCCGCCCGGGCCGCCAGCAGCCGCAGCAAGAACAGCAGCAGCTCCGCGCTACCGCTCCGCCCTCGCCCCGCCGGCAGAGAGCCGCGGGCTGCAGCACACCGCCTGCGGGTAGGGATGCGGCCCCGCACGGGCAGCGGAGCTCGAGCAGCGCCCGCCGGCCGGGCCCTCCTTTTGTGGGCTCCGCCGAGAAGAGCGGAGCCGCGGCACCGCAGGCGGCCGCGTACCTGGAGCCCCTCCGACCCCGTGAGACGCGCTACGCTGCGCTACCCGGCCATCCCAGCCCTGCCGCGGGGAGAACGCACCTGACGCCGCTCCGCTCCCGGAGCGCTCGAAGCCCGCAGCGGGATGCAGCCAGCCTGCCGGAAACGCTTCCCAGCCTTACCCAGGAAACGATTCCGGCCGCCGGCCGCCACCGCCCCTCCTCTCCCTCCTCCCTGGCCGCCGCCCAGCGCCGCGGGCCGCAGGGGACCGGGCGGGCGGGGCCGCCGCCGGAGGCGCTCGGGCTGGGGGCGGCGGCGCCACGTTGGGTACCCGAGGCTCCCACCTGCAAGGGAACGCCTCGGGGCGCTCCCGGCCACGGAGGAGCGGTGCGGGCTGCGTTCCGAGCACGGAGAATGGCCAGGAGGGCCAGTCCTGAGCCTCCCTGCTCTAAACACGCCTGCAGTATAACAGGATAGGGCTGTGAGTCCCTGGGCAAATCTTGAGATGCAGCAGTAGGATTCACAGCGATGCAGCGAGTAGCTAATAGTGGGGCTTAAATGAGTACACTGGTGGGAAATTGTTTAAAACCTCAGCAATTATTTGGGGGGGTTGTCCTGTCAAGGTTTTGACGTTAGGGGGAAGAAACTGCTCAGTGCTGAAGCAAAGATTTTAACATGGAGTAAATATTTGAGTGGAAAGCATGCAACCACGAGCACATCTTTCACTCCAGCACCTCCTGATAAACTCATGAAGGCTGTGGAACAGCAGATGCAAAGCAGTCTGTGTTACAATACAGTGCTGTTATCAGAGAAACCAAACATGCACTAAGAGGCCAAAGAAAACCATTACAATAGTAAAATGGCCAGTCTGATTTTCTCTTAAATGAAAACACGCTCAGCGATCCTATTAGAGTGCCCAAGTCTGCTTCAAAACTTATGGCAGCGTTTCTAATGGTGAATCTATTTATCTAGAAGGGATGGTGATTCTTCCCGTGTGTCCCAGAGCCTTTGGTATTTTCTTTCATGAGTTTATAACTATGCTCCTTGTAACAGCAGAGCTTTGAGGATCTAATTACAATTTAATGGACCATTAAGATGAATAGGAATATAGAATCTTTAATTTGAAATATTCATGTTTTTAGAAGACCACACTGACATCTGTCAGCCTAAAGAACAGGGAAGAACATGCAATTATAAGCACTGCAGCAGTGAAAAAGGAAAAGCAGCAATTAGATAAAGGTGTGATAGTTCAGAGCAAAGCGCTTGGAAATTATACTTCAATAATTACTTGGAATTTAATAATTACTCCTAAATGTATTCTTCTTGTTCATGGCAGTACTGACATTTATATCAAATGGGGACATGATTTAGTCTAGGCTTGCATAAAAGGAACAATACTTCTATATGCTAAGACTCATGTTTTAATTCATTACTTCAGTATCCTTAACTATGGTGAATATCCAAAGAAAACCTTCCAAATAATTCTAATTATCTGCAACTGAAATGTATCATTGCTCAATTCAGGAAGGACTGACGAGGTTCTGAGACACCCAAAGATGACTCATCAGATTCCACTGTCTGCAAATCAGGGTGCTTTCCTCTTCAACAGAGCACATCATCCAGCAGGAGGGAAAGCTTTCACGCAAAGAGACTTTGAAGGCATATTGGAGCTGAACTCTCCCTAGAATTTGCACTTCCTCTGTTCAAGAGATGCAAGACAACTATTGAGTTGCCCACGATTATTATTGAATACCCTATTAATATGTTCTCCTGCAGCAGTGGCCAGGCAAGATACTCATATACTCACATTCCTTTGATGAGAAGTGTATCTGCACTGCATTGTGGTTTTGTTATGCGGTTAAAATTATGATTAACATTTAGTTACATGGTCCATGTAATGTACTTTGGTTTGCAATGTAGTAAGCAGAGTCATAAAAGTGAAGTGTTGAGGAAACTAAATAACAAATTCTGTATACATCCTAAATGGACAGCTGCTCAATACACTCAGACTCTCAGCAACAATTCCAGGTGGATATGCTGCCTGCATAGGCTCAGCCAGTCTCATCAAATATAGATGCCTTCTTTTAGAGCAATCTGATGTGTTAACTTTCCAAGTAGTTGTGGGAATTAATTAAGGAATTGATATAGAGCAGTTATTACCTCTGCACCTCTTCATCTCTGGAACAGGTTGCCTATGGAGATCGTGGATTCTCCATCTCTGGAGGCATTCAAGGTCAAGTCTCAAAGAAGGAGCCAAAGAAAGGAAGACTTAAGGAGAGTGCCTGTAGTTTTGGGAATTAATTAAGGAATCGATACAGAGCAGTTACTACCTCCACGCCTATAACAACCATTTAGTAACACAACATTTGTAAACATAACAGAAAGTAAAGAGACCTTTCTATATTATGGGTTCAAAACAAAATATTTTCATCATCATCTTGCAGTTTCTATGTTTGATCCACGACTGCACATTTATTTTGGAATAGTCCATCCAACTTTGCAGTGAGGACTGACTGGCCACACGAGTTTCCTCTGGCAAATATCTGTCTGCAACCACCCTTCCTCTGTACAGCACAGATTTACAGACTTACGCTGAGATTGACTGTGCCTCTAAGTGCTCTCTCAGGAGAAGCTAATGGTTTCTTCCTATCTTCTTTTATATACCAGCTTTTTTACTTAAAAGTTATTCCTTGTATGGGGATAGTCAAAAGTATGCAGTGATCCTGCCTTTTCTCTCTGCAGATCAGATTAGAAAAAAAGGTGAACACAGAATAAGCAAGACTACCATCTAGCGGTGTAACTGAAGTTTAGTATTTCAGAATAACCTATACCATCAAATAACCTTTTGCTGAATATATTACTCCTAAATCCAAGCCTAATATCGAAATTGTTGAGGAAAATTCTGCTACAGTAGGACAGCGATTTTATTTGGAACTGATTCTCTTAACATTTTCGTGTCTCATAGTTACATCAAGTCTCCCCCTTGAAATATAAAATCAATTGATTTCCCATGATGAACAACACTACACGCGTGCACCTAGAAGATTCAAATATTGGACTGGAATTACATTTTTTTCATTGCAGGCTTAAATATGCACTTTTTTGAGAGAGGACAGAGGGTTCAGTATCCCAGGCATGTGTGTGAAATCATGTATTTTTCTTGTTATTTGGAGTTCTTGAGCCATTTGTATGGTGCTGGCACAGGTTGCCCAGAGAAGCTGTGGAGTCTCCTCCTTGACAATCCCGAAGCTGCCTGGACATGAGCCTGCATACCCTGCTCTGGGTGTCACTGCTTGAGCTGCAGAGTTGGACCAAATGACCTCCAGAGGTCCCTGCCAACCTCAGGCATGCTATGATTCTTTATGATGAGTGCTCCTTGGGCAAGCATATAGTAAAGAACTAGTTCTGCCATAGAGAAAGTTCTCTCCTTGTAGGGTTCTCCTCCATGTCACTTACAGAAAAGCAAAGACAGCCAGACATCAGAGGTTCAGGTAAGATTCCTCCAATAGTGAAATAAAGCTGGGAACTGATCATTTTTTGAAATCATTCCAGGTAAGTTCTGGAGAAAGGTGAGAAGGATGACTTCATTCTCAAATATTTGAAAAGGAGAACTACAAGTCTTTCAACACAACAAGTGATCATTGCAGTTAAACTATCCATTTTGGACTTTTTTTTTTCTAGCTAGAGCAGCCAAGCAAGGAAAAATTGTAAGAAAAGGTGCAGAGTTTCTATATCCTAAAGCAGCTGCTTAGGCACTGGGATAGAAGACAGTAGGTTCCTTCAAAACTGACATTTAAGCAAGCTTTACTGTTTTATGTGGCCCTGGCACATGAAAAACACTCGGAAGTCCTAAGAGAGAAACTAAAGGTAGTCAGATAAAGATAGTAGCTCATGCTTGCAAAGCTAAAATGGAGCTAGATTTTTGCCTCACACTCTTAAAGTGAATGTGGGAAATAAACCTCTGCTTTTTGATGGGCACCAAAACATATCATGTTTGATATTTTCATACATCTGAAAAGTAGGAATAGGAAATATAGATTTGGGAATATCACTTGCTTTTGAGGCTAGAGTTTTTCCGTATTTTGAGAATGTGGTTGTTTGAAGAACACAAACCATGGCTTATAAGTTTTAGGCAGACACTTCTGCATCACCAGCAGCTGCTGGGCTTCAGTCCCACTGCTTTGGCACCTTGGAGCTTTCCCTGCAAATACTGCACTGCTGGCTCTGGCTCCCAATGTGCATTTGAGATATGCAGCAGTACAGCTCCCAGTGAGGCCATCAGGAAACCCATTTCTTGGGCCACAATGACTGTTTCCATCATTTATATATGCACATGTATACACATTTATATTCACTAACAAATATTTTAAAAAATGGTGTAGAAAGTTGGAATGCTAAGCTTACTAACAGCAGAGCTTTGTCTCTGAAACAAGAAAGACGGAAGTCCAGTGTTTAATGGTCTAAATGTAGCCAGAAAAGCCCGCACTGTAAATGCACTCAATGGGAATTTTGCCCTTTGTGTATAAACATACATGGGAAAGAGTGGCATCTTTTGCATTTATATTTACAGCTCCAGAATGTGATGCAGTACCATGCGATGCAGTGGTTTTGATCCATATGTAGTTCTTCTCACCATCTAAATATTTTTCTCCATTGACAAATAAATACATTTTGGCATGCACATTCACAGACTAAATCCCTCCACTAAAACAGGTGAGGCGTGAAGGTCCAGTGATGATGTTCTTCATAACTACATGTGGTCTGGTTCAACATTTCAAAACAGTGCTTGTTAAACTGATATTTCTCCATCAGTGATGAACACTGTCTAAAAATTTCTCTGTTCTCCTCCTTGAAGAATATGGAAAAATTCCTAGAGCAGAGAGGAAGAAAATCTCCATTTGCTCCCCTCTGTTGATGATCTGGAGGTCTTTGCAACCAGCCTTGGAGATGCACAGATGGCACTGCATAGCGCTTCTCTGCAAGCAGCTTAGGGCAAGGGCAAACTCAGAAGGGGCAACTGGACTTGTTTCACTGTGTATTTAATATAATTGCTTGGAGATGAGCCAGGCTAATAATCTTCCTCCCATGGCATGCACTGGAGAGTCAGAGCAGTTGGGCTCCAGAGCTGCTGTTTCCCTCAGCCAGTAAAAGCACCAAGTACAACACAACTGCTTTTCATTACCATGCACTGGGTGGTCACCACATGTAAAACA